GAGTGTTTTAGCATTACTAGATAAATAAATAGAGAGTTTCCGAATTATAAAACCATTATTATAACCAACTTATTTTCCAAGTTTTACAAACATGTGCCAACCCTCGTGGGCAGATTCCTCACGTAAAAATAAGATCTATTTTTCATATCAACATAGGTCCGATTCTGCTTTGTTTCGTAGCTATACAGGGTGTTAAAGTCTTAATAATCTTTTGATTTATTATAATTTTCTTCCAAGTACTTTTAGTAATTTGGATGGAATTTTGAGGGTTAAAGTTACTATAGGTGCTACATATTTTAATGCTAAAAAGTGTGGATAAATTCATCAGGGACATTCATATGGGTTATCACTGGAATATTATTCTAAAAAAATCTGGGCGCCACCTACTTTTTTCTTTTGATATCAAAATTGTGTAGGCCGATTAATACCAATTAAAAGTTATTTCTTGATATTTTGTCGAATTCGGCCTCCTTGATGAGATAAACGCAATTTAATTAATCATAATTAATAAAATTAAAATAAAAATAAAATTAATAAATTTTATATTTTACCTAATTTATTATTAAATATTATTATTATTAGTTATTATTACTATTAGTCTACAGCAATTTCAAATAAAAAAATAATGGTATTTAAGATAAAAACAAAAAACCCATCGTGTTAAAATGTCACTGTACGAATATTAAGCTTGTTTTAAATTCAGTATGCCAATTAAATAAATATATTGGCTCAAGTTTCGTTTAGCCGAAATCAGTTACATAGAACATCGGTTTATAGGATGATTCTATACAAGAAAACTAGCACTACATAGTTTGATTTTTGCCGCGGAAATTCTTTGTTTTTGAGAAAACTCGAATTTTTAATTTTTCTTTTATTATCTAAACTTTAAAACTTTACGGTGTTTTTAATAGTTTTTTCATTATAGAATGACGTAAAAACATTTAATATAACGATGTGAACTAATTTTTATTCGAAAATATATTTTTGTCACAATAATTTTCATTGATTTTTCCGGGTTTAGAAGTGCCGAAATGTGATAGGAAGATAAAAACTACATATTTTCGTTTGATTAATAATTTTCTATAAATTTTCTATATAACCTTTTCCGCGGAAATTCATCATAAGGGCGGTGTAATGGAAAATCTTCAATATTTCGAAGTTTTCCATAGTATTCTCAACTTTTTTACATACTTTCGGTTTGGTTTGGTCAAGCTGTAGTTGGTTTGGTTGTAATGGGTTTAGTTGGTTTCGTTTGGTTTAGTTGTTTTTTTAAGGTTTGGTTTGGTTTAGTTGTCGTTTTTATGCTTTATTGACATTTTTTTAAATTTTCGCATTTATTGACCATATCCATATTAAGTTGATAAGAATAGATATTATTCGTTGATCTATGTCAAAGGTCGGGAAGCAGATCACTGCATAGTGGTGAAATAACGCATTTCCGCGGATTTTCGTTTTTGATTTTCGTTTTTTCGTGGTCAAAAATAAGTCTGTAATATAAAATAATATTATATTTTTATATATCTCATTTCGTTACTTCTAAACCGTATTCAAAAAACAGCGCATTTCCGCGGAATTTAATTTTTGTATTAGTAGTTACAAAGGCGTCTAAAATATGAAATAACATTAATTTTTCATGTACGTCATTTCGTTACTTTTAAACCGCATTCAAAAAATGGTGGCGCATTTCCGCGGCAAAATTTTTTCAGTAATATACTCCCTGAGGTACCTAAATGACAGAAAAAAATTTGATTCTTTTTTAACAGATTTCGGCTAAACGAAACTTGACCCAATATATTCATTAAATCATTGCGCATAATTACATATTTTTATGGCCTGTCTAATAAATGTTAAGAAATACCAAAATAAAAGAGAAAATCTGATAAATGATAAGTATTTGCCAAAATCTACAAATATAATTAGTACTAAAATTATTCTTCATATTCCATATAGAGATTATATATTTTTATTATTGAAAATAGTACATTCCACCTTATCAATAAGATCTAACAATTATAACGAACAAAAATGTTGCTAACGAATACGTAACTTATTAAATAGCGTGGATTATATGTATTTATATCTACATTTCTATATTTTTTTGGTTCTGCTAATCGCCTCTCTCTTATACAGTAACAAGTAACGTAATATAGTTCTAAAGAATTTTACATAAAAAATATTATTTTTGAAAATTAAATCGTTTATTAGATACAATTAGATACATTAAGTTCATACTACATTAAAAATGGTGTCTACAACACTGTATAATATATATACAGGTTGTCCCAGACACATTTTTGAAATCAAATAAGTTCATTGTTATATATAAAAGTGCTTCGTTTGTCCGCTAGAGGGCATCAAACTTCTCATAAACAAATTTCTTCAGATATTTTAAGAACCGTTATTCCGATCTCAATGAGATTTTGGGTGTCTATGCTATGGCAAGTGCTTTAAGATTATTTGACTTTAACAAAAATCAAGAAAAAGTGGAAGGGTGAAAACTACCCCCACCCCTACATAAATTTTTGTATAAATATTTTATAATTTTACTAACGACAGATTTTCTTTTCGTAAAATGGTCTCCCTAGTATTTACATTTTTTGTCTATTGTAAAAAACGCTACATCGATCGCATAGTTTTTGTGTAATTTTTTTTTGGATAATTTATTTTTCCAAAGCACACCTTCAAAATATACAGGAAATTCCAATATTCCGTGGACATAGAAGAACTATTTTACGTATTTTTTTGATCAAAATAAGTGAATTGCTCATAATTTACCTTTATACAAAAGTACTTCGTTTGTCCGTTAGAGGGCATCAATCAAAAATAAACCCGAAAGTTAATTAATTTAAAAATTATTTTTTTAAGCTTTTTATGAAGTTTATTGTCAAATATAATTTGTGAAACCAACATAAATTGCTAATAACTAGCATGATTGCCTCCATAGCTTGATGTGACAAAAAACATTTTTTGGTAGTCAGCTTTAGAAAAATAGTTTTTTTCGTAAAAAGATTTTTCGAAATTCCAGTTCCAAGGGGGTGAAACCACCCCTCAAATATTACAATATTTTTTATTTAAAAAACGGTCAAGTTTCCGAAAAAACGCTTAAACTCGTATATTTTATTTTGTTTTTTTACATATTTTAAGATTTTTTTAAAAAATGTATACAGGGTGTTTCGAAAAATCTGGTCATTGATTAATCACGATCCTGCTTAAAACGCTTGACGAAAAAAGCTGATTTTTGGAAAACGGATTGACTTTAGGGTGTAGAGGTTCGATAAGAAGGGATTTTTCGAAACTCGAATTCTAAGGGGGTGAAAGCACCCATCAAATATTAGAATGTTTTTTATTTAAAAACCGGTCAGTTTTTCGGAAAAACTCTTAAACACGTATATTTTATTTTGTTGTTTTACATATTTTAAGATTTTTTAAAAATTTATACAGGGTGTTTCATAAAATATGACCATTGAGTAATCACGATTCTACTTAAACTGCTTGACGTTTAAAGCTGATTTTTGGCAAACGGATTGACTGTGGGGTGATAAGGAGGGGTTTCTCGAATCTCAAATTCCAAGAGGGTGAAAACGCCCCTCAAATATTTCAATATTTGTTATTTAAAAAACGGTTAGTCTTTCGGGAAAACGCTTGGACACAATTTATTTGGTTTTTTTACATATTTTGAAATTTTTTAAAAAATCATACAGGGTGTTCCAAAAAGTTGGGTGATTGATTAACTACGATTCTGCTTAAACTTCTGCTTGACGTAAAAAGCTTATTTTTGGCAAACGGATTTTTCGAAAGTCAAATTCCAACGAGATGAAACTACCCCTCAAAGATTATCAAGTTATAATACTACCAAAAATTGAAATAGTGAGGGGAACATATGAAAACCGAAGAAAAAAATTAGCCGGCAAGCCCTCAACAAACTCGTAACCGTATACACCAGTGTAAATTACTGTAGACATTCACAGTCACACACAACAACCACACCTACATCAGTGTACACTAGTGGAACTACACAGTCACACACAACAACCACATTCACAGTCACACACAACAACCACACCTACACCAGTGTACACTAGTGAATCAGCAAGCGATGACAACGATCCCAAAAAATATTTTTTGAGATGTGACGGAATCAGCAAGCGATGGCAACAATCCCAAAAAATATTTTTTGTCGTTGTCATTGTTTGCTGATTCCTTACCGTACTGATGATGCTGGAAGGCGGTTATACTAGTGTACACTGATGTAGGTGTGGTTGTTGTGTGTGAGTGTGAATGTCTACAGTAATGTACACTGGTGTATACGGTTACGAGTTTGTTGAGGGCTTGCCGGCTAATTTTTTCCTTCTGTTATAATAATATCGCCATATTATTTATATAGGTTTTTTATTATGCCATATATTTTATATATATTTTTTATCCAGTTTGTATGTTAATGGAAATTCTTGCTTTGCTTTATCATCACCATTACAAATGATTAATTCGACGCGAACGAAGTCGCGGGTACACGCTAGTACTAAAATATATGTAGTGATGGGGGTAGTTTTCAGCTTTATTCCCATACTTTTTCCTGATTTTTTTCTGAAAGTTAAATGTTAGAGCACTTAGCAAAACATAGACACCCAAAATCTCATTCAAATCGGATTAGTGGTTCTTAAAATATCTGAAAAAATGTTTTACTTTTTTAAAGCTTAATTCTTTCTAGCTGACTAACGAAGCACTTTTGTATAGAGGTAAATTGTGTCCGATGAACTTATTTTTATTCCAAAAATACGTAGTAGTTCTATGTCCAAGAAATATTGGGACACCCTGTATATTAATTATTATTATTCAACGAATATAATCTACCTTATCTATAAGATCTAATCATTATAATTTTCATATTGAAAACGGAAATATTACTAATGAACACATAATTTGCATAGAAACAACTAGTGTATATGGGTCAAAAAAAATTCAAAAATTACAAAAGTATTAATTTTTTATTTAAATCGTTTAATAGATAAAATTTATTATTTCTACATTACAAGAATGTATCTAAAAGCCGATTATATCGCATGATTTTTGCCACTCTATCCAGTTTCTTCAAATCAGTTAAATCGGTGTTACAATTTTCCGGACTGAAAGGATTTACTAACGCCCATATGCCGTTCTGGGGATCGGTAAATATACGGGAAACATACGGCATCCTTTTGTATGATTGGGCTAATACGTTGTGATTTTCGGCAGCCATTGGTGTCCTACAGATATTTTATAATAATAAGTTTTTATAATAATAGCTCCCGTATATAGCGTTTAACGCCTTGGGAGTAGCAAGGTACAGCTCGCCATACTAGAGCCGTTCGGTATACAAGGAAGGTAATGTGGCTAGCACTACGCTTCAACCGCCTCTATTATTACCTCAGGATTGTGAATCCCAAGTACTCATTTAAGGCTGAGTCGACCTAGGTACCCAAACTATTTTTATTTTGATAAAAATAGTCGGCTGATGATATGCCGGGTGTGGGATTCGAACCCACTACCTTGAGATTGGTAGACGAGAGCCTGTACCTCTACGCCACCGGATACCTATATAATAAGTTTTTAAAGGTCTTAAATAGGTGGAAATATTTCGGGGCTAATAGATTTCGATAAAAGAAACATATATTCGAAAATAACATTTTCGCGAAAAAATCCCGTAAACGTGTTTCAGAGGTCGAAATATACCACCTCTAAAATTATTTGCACTTATTCAAGACTCACCCTGTATATTTATGTTATATATTTCCCTTACGGATTTACATTTCTTTTATTTTTATTATTTTTTATTATCTAGTTAATCTGTGAAAACCGTCGAGATTTATAGGCTTGGTGCATTCTCCGCCGGTGCTGCCACCATCGGAGAATATCGTAAACAATCGGTATATACAAATACACGGGTTTAAATAGCGAGTATACGAAGAAAAGTTTATATAATTATTCTAAAAGTGTTAGGAAGTATAAATTCTAAAAAAATAAAAAATAAATATTTGGATATCTTCAGAAGGGACTAACTTGTATTATAATTTATTATTGGACCTAACAAAACTTTTTAGATGAGTTCAACTACGGTAGCGACCATAGTTTTACTCACCGGTTTTGCTAGTGGGGACATAACTTGGGGGAAAGTTTAGTTATTTGAATGTTATTGTACCCAACAACCACGTAATTACGCCCTCCTTTACGTGTTAATATTTTTTCGGCAATTTTATTAAATTTGAAATTGTCAAAACAGTCAAAACACAACGCGACGCCCAATTCAAGTTCTTTTTCACTTAATTTTTACTACCCGAAACAGCGTTACATCACACAAACCTCGTACCTGAGTGATTTGTAGTTAGTTTCAATAACTGCACTACCAAAAAACTAAAATTCTTAAATATTATGACAAAGCCACAATTTCAATATTATTTTAATGCCATCAACATGAACTGTAACCGGGACGGCGTAAAATACATAGCGAAAAAATGCACAAACCTATAGAAATTACTACGATTTACTCTGCTTATCTTTATTAATTGCTACTATTAACAAACATATTAAAAAATAGATTAACTTGAAAATGTAAAAAATAGTCTGATATTCCATATGATCTAAATAAATGAGAAAACTGGACTGTAGACGGCCGATGTTTTTTCATCATCAACATTAAGGTGCGTCCAGACTTGTGACCAAACCCGTAACGTAACGGCGTCAGCTACATTTAGGCGTATTATACCGTATGATCGAAAAAAACGGCGTCCAGTTGGCTTGGAAATGAACATCTATGACATTACCCATATAAAATGACAGCGATCTTCAGTTCATAGCCATCGCTGACGCCGTTTTTTTTTTCGATCATATTGTACTTCAATGCGTGCCATCCTAGTGTTTAAGGAGAATATATTATAAACAAAGAGTTTATAAGATAATAGTAAACTACGGCGCTGTCACGCCGTGCGATAACAGGGACATTCCAGACTACACGCGAAGAGGTCCGCGTGTTCGCGACGTTTGACACAATACGCGTTCTTGTCACAAGAATGGGCGCACCTTTATAAGCATCTTTATACGTCTATGTAAATTTAATTACCCAATTATCCATCTGACAACCGCATAATCTCTTGTTAAATAATATATTAATCCATTTTTCAAATCTGTCTCTAATCCAGATGACTGACCCATTAATTGTCCCAAAAAGGTAGTATTAATTGATGTTTTATCCTACAAAATTAAGTGTATTTTGTATTGAGTCTTGAATATAGTTCAATAAATATAAAAAAAAATCTGCACAGAAAGCTGTAGAGAACCCTGTTATATGAGGGGTTCAGAAATGAACTGAATCAAGTCTAAAAGGTATATAATTATGGAGAAAATAAGATTTAAAGTTTTTTAATGTTACAGGGTGGCTGATTAAAATAAAACAAGCTGGATAAACAGACTATATATAGCTAGAAAATTGGACTTGATCCATTTTAATTCTGACCACTCCATATATTTATACTCAAATTTTAGAAATAGATTTCCTATAATTTATGGAATAAAAGTGTATTAAAAACAGTTGAAATATACAAATTTAAATAAATGAAGGGTACAGGGGAAAAACGGGCTAAGTCAATTTTTAGCGAAATTGAGATATTGATGTCATCTGATTGAAAATATGTTAAATTTTGTTCTAAAAATAGCTTCCATGGCAAGAACGCGATAAGTCAGAAGACAGTATTAAACAAGAAAAATATCCCGTACAGGGGAATAACGTGACAAATCCGTGCGGTACCGAGCAAAAACGGGCTAAGTCGTGTTTTTACGCGCCTATTCGATAGCGTTCTGGTCGCCATTTTAATCGTTTTGCCAATTTGCAGAGTTTGAAAAAGTTTTGTGGAAAGGAAGCTCAGGAGTATTTTACCTCACTGGTGCATAATTAATTGAGAAAATTGGTGACTCTCCTATGAAACAAATTTCAAGGTAATTTTTTTTTACTTTTTTACACAAATCAAAACATTAATTTTCCATTTTAGATGATCTGATCAATATCAGAATAACGAAGATTATTTTCTAGTTTTTGTTCTGTTTCTATATATTATTTATGTAGGCATAAATCTGGTTATTGAGTGAAATAAAATACTTCAAAATACAAAAGTGTTATAAATTCAGGGAAAAAACGGGCTAAGTCATGACCATTTACCAATAAATGTTTGATTTTTCTATCAATTTTTTTTTCTAAAAGCGAAAACTTTATGACTCAAAGATCCGAGATAGTTAGGGAACATATCGATAAAAGAAGAATTTTTTAAATTGAAATATTGTATTTTTTGCAGCGTTTTGAACCTTAAAATTGCTTTATCTCAAAATCATAAAATTTGACCTTGTTTACCGTTTTTCCCCTGTACCCTTCAAATGTATAATTTACCTTCCAATTAATAAAATTGTTTAAATCTGCAGAGTAAACTTGTGTGGTGTACTTATCAACAAAATAAAAGTCACTTGAAGTTTTTGAGAACGCCATGGAGTATATCATTAATGATTTTGGATGATTTGATGCTGTAACCATTTTGATTTTTTTACATTGTAATTTTTCTAAATCACATACCAAAATAGCACTAAATCCGGGACTTGATATAAAAGCTCTAAAAATACAAATAATCAAGATGTGATATTTTTAAGACATTAATTTATTTTATCTGTTTTGGGATATTACCTGTGATTTCCAGGAATTGTGCTGTTTTCAATTATTATGGTATTCAAGCCTTTTCTAGGTATATTTCTCAAATCAATTACTTCATCCAGAAACATATTATGAAATACATTATAAACCATAATTTTAGGCGTACAGTATTCATTTCCTGCATCCAGTATCCACAACTTTGATTTAAAACTTTCTTTTGCTAAAGAAACAGAGTTTTGAAGTTCATCACATTTAGCCCATAGCTGCTGTTCAATTGGTTTGTTGTATCTAAATATATAAGTATTATTTAAATAAAAAAACCTTAATTATAAATTATTACTTACTTAACTTTTAAGATAGTATTAAATTCTTTCCATGGCACCTCCACCAAAGTTGGATTTGTGATATTATTTTGACAAGTTGATCTAGGGACAGTTAGAAAAGCTCTATTAAAATACACTGCAATATCACTGATAAACACATCACTGTTTAAACCAGCATTTTCCAGTTTTGTTAAATCAAACAAAACTATATTTTTTATATTACAAATTATAAAAATGTATGAAATTAATAAAAACTTCATGATTTTAAGTACTAAGTTAAAGTACCTACTCAAAAGTAATCTAAAAACGCTTTTGTAGCATTTTTTGTAAATTAATTGTGTCAGCATGAAATAAAATACCTTTCCATCAAGCCTTAAAATACTTAATGCTATATTTTTTAACAGTCTATTACGTATAAAATATATTTACAATTATAACAACTTAAAATAACTTTATTATATTAAAACTTTATAACTTTATTAGGTTTTCTTTGAGTTGTTGGTACATTTCCATTATTATTTGTATTGTCCAAAGCGTCAGGATTACTACTATTCATAGATTCAATATTAAAACTTTTTCTTAATTGAGCTTGTTGTTGTTGATATCTTGGACAATCCTTTTTCAAATGCGTTACATCTCCACAAACATTACATGAGCCTAAAAAGTTCAAAAAGATAAATAAGTATTTTCTTAACAGTATAGCCATTTCAAATTCTTACCTCCTTTTGGATACAGCCCTCTTTGATTATCAGGACACTGTCTAGCAATATGCCCTTGTTCGTTGCAAATGAAACATTGAGCAAATTTATAATCCATTCCTCTGACAACTTTGCACTCGAAATGTGTATGTTCTGTAGACCCACATTTGAAGCATATTCCAGTTCCTGCTGTTTGTGTTACTTCACCTTTGCCTAATTCGGGACATTCTGACAGTACATGTCCAGATTTTCTACAGTTGAAGCAAACCTAATAAACAAAAAAAAAACTTCAGTATTTATAATTTAGTAGCAATAATTAAGTTGATTACTTACATTCTTTTTCTCTCTTGCAAGTGCCTTTTCAGCTCTTCTTCTTTCTAATTTCAAAGCAGCATTAATTTCACTCCTTGGCAATCCTTTAGTGATCATCTCCCTACGTAAATTTTTTAGCCTGTCTGCATCCTCCTTCTTTACTGGAAAGCCATCAACATAATCTATATCAACTGACTTACCATTAATGAACTGAGTTTCAGGCAATGGTTTCTTTCTTTTGTGTTCATTAGAATCTCTATTTCTGAATGTGTTAGTCATAAGATGTTTATTTGGAAATGGTTTGGTAGAGGGGACACTTTCTGAACTACCAGTTTTTTTGTCAAAATGGTTTAAATTATTATTGTTTATACTAATATTACCATTCACATTACTTTTATTATTATCATTAACTTCATGCTCTTTAGTTTTCTTGAATTTTTTCCTTTTTTCAACTTGTTTAGCTTTCTTTTCCTTCTTTTTAGCAAGTTTTTTCAAATCTTCTTCATTTAATTCCCTGTTATCAGATTTTTTCGATTCATTTTTTATTGGACTCACATTTCGATTCACTTTATTCTTATTATCATTATTTACTTCATGTTCTTTACTTTTACTGAATAGTTTTCTCTTTTCAGCTTGTCTAGCTCTTCTCTCTTTCTTTTTAATAAGTTTTTCCAAATTCACCTCAGCTTTATTGTGATCAGAATGTTTCGATTTATTAACTGTTAAATTATTATGTTCGTTACTATTCTTAACGTTATGTTTAGTTTCTAACTTTTCTGTTTTCCGCTTAAGTTTCTTTTTTTCTAGTTGTTTCTTATACCTCTCTTGCTTTTTAGCAATTTTTCTTTTTTCTGTTTCACTTAAATTTTCTGTAATGTTCTCTATTGCCGTATTCTGAATATTATTTAAATTTGTATTTAAACTACTTTCAGGCTCCTCTGGTTGAATGATAATTTGGAGTTTCTGTTTCTTCCTTTTAGCTTTCTTTATAACAATTTCTTTTGGCTTTTTTGTAATAACTATTTCTTCAGGAGCAGCATCACTGTCACTTTCGTCAATTACTGTCTGTTGTTTATTTTGATTATTTAAAACAACCTCTATTTTACTTTTTAAAGCATTGAGTTCTGCATCAGAATCTTCTGATAACAAATCATGCTTATTTACTTCTAGTTTATTAACGTTCTTAACATTATTTAAATGTTTTTTCGTGTTCTTTTGCAATATCAATTTATTTTGGCCATTATGTAGTTTTCGTTTCTTAATATTAGTTTCTAACTGTCCATTATCAAAATCAGCCCACTTAGTTTCTTTATCCTCCTCGTTCTCTTTTTCTTGTAAAAAAGCTTGGTAATTTGCATTTCTTCGTTGTAAGGCCTCTTCTCGCTGTTGTTTCTCTTTTATTTCTGTATTTCTCTTTAAAAGGTCTTGTTTCATTTCCAGCCAAGATGTTGCAGATTCAGGAAGCTTCTCATTTGACGCCTTGGATCCTTTAGCTCGTGCAAATCGTGTCATTATTACAGTTTTAACACAATGTATTTACCCACGCAAGTTTTTAGTCAAATATATTAAATAATTTATCACTTTCTAAACTATCAAAAGCTCAAAAAATGTGCAAAATACTAAGGTTAGAATAGCCACAGAAAAGCTAAATAAAATTCTGACAGTAACACCATAGATATTATGACATATGACGGGTATATAGAGTTGCCTATATCACAAAATTCTACTAACGTCTAGCCGGGCGGAGAACTTGGCTCCCGAAGCAAACCCGAAGTAAAAACATCTGCAATAATCACGGACATCCGTCTTTTCATTTCGGCAAACATTTCGGCAGTGCGTTTTGCAGTGTTTAGTCGGTATGTCGGGACTTGGTTATTATCATTTATAACCGATAACCGGCCTATTCAAAGTAACCGGCATAACCGGCGATATCCCTAACCCCATTATTTACTTATTTGTTGTTTTGTGTTTAGTTTTTTACTACCAATTATAATATAATTGGCAGTAAACCATATTGTGGTTTAAAATAAAAATGAAGCACCAATGTGCCGAGTGTCTGGGCTTTTTTTCTAAAATCTCTAATTTAAGAAGACATGCAAAAAAGTTTCACCCGAAAGATGTTACAAGATTGGTGCCTTTACAATATAGAAAATGTGCCCCCAACTCGGATATCCAGTGTCGCATTTGTGATAAAACTTTTATTCACAAAAATAGTTTAAATAGGCACCTTAGGAAAGTACATGACCTCAATCCAAGTCTTGAAACTGAAAAAGCTCGTGAAAAAGTAAATAAAAAATGTGCTTTATGCGAACATAAAGATTTTAATAAAAAAAATCTAATGAAACATTATGAAAGTGTGCATGATGTACCTATGAAATGGCAACAGTTGGAGTTTTCTACAATGGATGAGTTTAATCAATGGAAATGTAAGAATTATTTAATGGCCATATTATAATAAACTTAATGTTACATTAACAGTGTGCTTTACCATAATTATGTCATTGCAAATTTAATGCAAGTTAAACATAAAAAAGTTCTGTTTGTTTATTGCTGATAGGACATTCAATATATTATTATTATATTATAGTATAGTCTGACGAGTTGCAGGAGAGTAGTCTGGCTTGGGGTTGTCTACTTTTTTTCTGCACACACAGCCAATGGTAATGCCAAACATCAAGTTTATGAATGAGCATTAAAGACTTTAATAAAATAGTCATAATTTTAAATAAGTGAGCAATTCTGTTTCCAGTGGATATGGAAAACAAAACCTTTTCAAAATTTGTTAAAAAAGGCACATCATCTAAAAAGCAGACATTTAAACAGTACATATGTCATCGTACAGGGACATATATTCCAGAAGGTAAAGGATTACGTCACCTAAAGACCCAAGGCTCGAACAAAATAAATGCTTATTGCCCAGCTAATATCCAAGTGTTTGAAAAAAATGATAACAAGTTAAGAATCAAATATCTTGAAACACATGTTGGCCATAAGCTTGATATTGGTAAGTACCTAAAGTAACAAAAAGTCACTTCAGTTAATTAAGAGATAAAGGACCACACTTTAAATAGGTATTACTATTACTAAGTGTTTATTTTGGTAAATTTTACTTTTTTTATACACTGAGGGTTTTTGAATTGAGGGATTATTGTAATTTGGCATTTTCTTACCTCTTTGAGGGTGCTGTAGTTCGTTTACGAACCACTTTAAATCACATCATAATGGTGACACCAACAAATCTCATAAGATGATGCTTGATGTCATTGATAACGTGACTTTAAGTGGTTTGTAAATGAACTAAACTACACTTGGTTTAATTTATCATAACATACATGTATGTACAATAGATTTTGAAGTTGAAAATGTCTGCATAAATTTACCTAAAATAACTGTGGTCATAAACAATTTCTCTAAAACTAGGAATTGACATATATTTTTCCATGATTCTTTTTTTCAAATTATTCAAAAGTGTAGGCGTTCAGTTAGGAATCATATGAGTTTTTTTTTGTTTTAGGTCACGTAAATCTTACGGAAATGGAAAGAAAAAATATAGCCTCTAAGATCGCACTCAAAATTCCATTCAGTGCAATATTAGATGAAATCCGAGATTCAATTACTAATGATACTCTTAGAAGACTACACCTTACAACAAGAAAAGATCTTTTCAATATAGAGGCGAGTTTTAATTTGTGTTCGTCTTCAGTTCGTCACTCCAATGATGCAATCAGCGTTGAATCTTGGGTGATCGAAATGCAGCGTATTGGAAAGCATATTTTATTTTATAAACCACAAGGAGTTGCTCTAGAAGACCATCCACAATTAAGAATGGAGGACTTTGTACTCATTATTATGACACCTGCACAGCTTGAAATGTTAAAAAAATATGGTTCGGACTGTATATGCTTAGATGGGACTCACGGGCTAAATTCCTATAACTTTGAGCTGCATACACTACTGGTAATAGATGACATAAGAGAGGGCTTTCCATGTGCCTTCCTATTCTCAAATCGGGCCGATACAAATATTATTACATTATTTTTGAAAGAAATAAAAAAGGAAGTAGGACTAATAACACCAAAATCTTTTATGTCTGACCTTTCCGAAGTATATTTTAATGCCTGGCTTGAAGTAATGGGGATACCAGAAAACAGGTAAAATATTTCTAACAAATTTTAAGACAATTTAATTGTATAATTAACTTTATTTTTCCCAGTTTAAGTAGCATTACACTTTAAATAATTAAAAATTACTTTTAGATTTTTCTGCACATGGCATCTTGACAAGGCATGGCGAAAAAATTTATCAAAAATCAAGAGCCAAGAAGACAGAGTAAGTAAAAATAGTAAAAATAGACTTAAGTATTTAAACCAAATTAAAATAAAAGTACCAATTTCTGTCTTTGCAATTAAATTATTTTAATCAAATGTGCATGCATAATTTTACTGACTTTTTATGAAAATTGTTTGTAAAATCAGCATATCACTAAATAATTAAATGCATTTTTTTGCAGATTGTTATATACAAACAGTTGAGGACTTTATTACAAGAAAGGGACCCTGTTGCCTTTGAAAGAATGCTAAATCAATTTTGCACTACCACTGATGATGAAGTTCTGGATTTTAAAAAATACTTTAAAGACAACTATCAAAATAATTCAAAATACTGGGCGTATTGTTATAGGCTGCACTCAGGGATAAATACTAATATGCACCTTGAAAGAATGCATAAAACCATCAAATATTATTATTTAGCTGGAAAGAAAGTTAAAAGATTAGATAAAGGTGTTACAGCCCTAATGAGATTTGTCAGGGATAAACTTATTGATAGATTAATTACCCTTAACAAAGGGAAGATATCCAGTAAATTAAAACTTATTCGTAATCGTCATAAAAATCAACAACTAGACCCATCTTTAGTTGTCCGTACCGAGCATGGATGGGAAATTCCCTCAGCTACAACAAATGAAATTTATTTAATTCAAGAGGGTAATAGTTCCTGTAACTGTCAGCTCAGATGCACTGCATGCAATATCTGTCTTCATACCTACTATTGTACTTGTCAGGATTCATCAATACAATTTAATATTTGTAAGCATATACACCTGCTTGCTCAATATAGGAAGATCAATGAAACTACTCCTAGTGGTAGGTATTCATTTATATTATATTCTTTTTCTATTTAAAACGGCCGAGAATAATAATTTTAGTATTTTTTTCGTTTTGAACGAGCTGAAAATTGTCACTTAAACTGATTTATTCCCTGTAAAGGGAATAAATCAGTTTAAGTGAAAATTTTCAGTTCGTTCAGAACGAAAGAATACTACTAATTTGTATAAGTATTTTTTGCAGTATGAACAATTATCTTTATCTTATTACTACATGCATATATTATAGGTATCAACTCCCAAAAAAAAATTGTAAGTGCAATTTATTTAGGTTTGGTATTTATTGTGGTTTATATGGTGGAGGCTTAAGGGGAAGAATGCCTAGGTAGCATTTTGTTGTTTTTTAAACACATGTTTTTAAACTAGTCCTTGTGTAGAAAAGTTTTTAATTCTAGTCCTTTTTGTTAATCTAGGAACAAATTTTTATACAAATTAATATTTGGGGTAATGGTGCAATTAATATTTTTATAATTTTGGGCACATGGGAAACCTGATTTTAAAAATATTTTTTTTGACAATAATTTTTTGTTGTTTATTTGCAGATGTTTTAAATGAAGTTCCTTCTGAAGTTGAAGAATTATGTATTGATTCGGGTGAAGGTGAAAATGATTCCTCTGTAATTATTAAACAACTTTCTAAAAAACAAAAAGCAACAATATCAGTTCAAGATAGGCAGAAGAACCTACTACAACAATATCATGACATAATAAATAGCTGGATTCACATGAAAAGTTGGACGCACTACAAAAAAATGTAAATTCTTTAACCGCTGTATTGGCCGCGATAGATCATAATAATGAAAGCAGCCAACGTTTCCAGCCCTCTGATAAGATCATTATGGCTAACGAAAATATCATACCTCAAAGGAAATTTTGGCCCACAAAAAAGAAATCAAAGAAATCCAATTCTGTCATCAAAAAACCCACTTCAGACGAATCAAACATCATAGCAATTCAGATTTTGTCAAATAATATATAAATTAATATATATTTTTTTATTAATAAGATGTAATGTTTTTTAAATAGTTTGTTTCAGCGGCTTTGTGAATGTGATACGTCATTGATTTTGGAAGAATAAAAATTGCATCTTTTGTCATCTTTTGTTTCATTAAAAAGTAACAAACTATTGCAAAAATCACAATTTTATTTTATCTTTACTAATAAAACATAAATGTAAATATTCTAAAAATATTTCGAAGTTAGTGGAACCTCCGCTTAGGTATACCAGAAGTTACCTAAAACTTGCTAATTTTAAATGGGATACCATTTAATAATTTTTAAAACAAAAATTTTATACTATTTATATAGAATTGACTAAAAAACTAAACAAAAATTAGAATATCATAACAAACGATGAGGTACATAAAATAATAAATGAGGCTCTAAAATTCATTAAACTTTATTATTATAAAGTTCAATAACGATTTCTATCTTCAATAAACGATAATAGATAAACAATGGATGAACATTATATTCGAATTTAGCGCCATATTAGGTGGATGACGAAAACGCCGTTCGGTAAAATTCGGGAGCCAAGTTTCCCGCCCGGCTAGACGTTAGTCAAAATTCTGTTCTCAATTTTTATTTTGGATCTCAACCACAGATCTCAACCTTATTGACATGTTGTATCTGTTGTTTACTGTGGTTGTATATTATATTATTCTGTGGTCTTCTAGTTCCGCCATCTTGATATTGTTTTGTTTATTACGTAAATTTATAAAACTATATAAAAATACACTAAGTAGTAATTAATTAGGTTTATTCAAGGTATGCCTATGAAAACGGGTTAATAAATCTTATTTGAATGAACAAGGTATTTATTTAAGTTTGAGATGAGTGCTAACCTCAAAATTTTTAGATGTTGCGGAGCGCCCTTGTACCAACTAAAGAAGCTAGTGCTTCAAGTGTTTTGCGAGCATTAACTGGCAGCTATGGAAATGTTCAAATACACAAAAGAGAACAGTCCACTACTCAAGTAAAAAAACAGTCTTCACAACCAGCTACACAGCCTTCTCAAGAAGTGAAACCATATTCCCCCTTTCAAAATACTAAAAATTTAGCAGAATTTGCCTTTGCTAGGCTCGATGATCTACTTAATTGGGGAAGAAAGGGTTCTATTTGGCCCCTTACTTTTGGTTTAGCATGTTGTGCTGTGGAAATGATGCATATTGCTGCTCCTAGATATGATATGGATAGGTAAGGCATTTCAGTCTTTATATGTTCTTCAGTCAGATTTTTGTAAAGGTGTTAAGTTTTAATTTTTTATTTAAGGTATGGTGTTGTATTTCGAGCATCACCACGTCAAGCAGATGTAATTATAGTAGCAGGTACTCTAACTAATAAGATGGCACCAGCTTTAAGAAAAGTTTATGATCAAATGCCTGAGCCACGATGGGTTATTTCTATGGGTAGCTGCGCAAATGGTGGTGGATATTACCACTACTCATACTCAGTTGTAAGGTAGTTATTGCTGAAAAGAAATAAGATTCATTTAACACTAAGTTGATGTTGAGAATTTTGGTTTTGTTTTTGGTAGCTGTAATTAATTCATACATATTTATTATAGAGGCTGTGATCGGATTGTCCCAGTAGATATTTATGTACCTGGATGTCCACCAACTGCTGAGGCTTTGATGTATGGAGTTTTACAACTGCAGAAAAAAGTAAAAAGATATAACACACTTCAAATGTGGTATCGTAAATAAGTATTAAGTATAAAAAATAGCAAAATACGCTCCACCTTGTAAATATATTTTAATTTCAATAACACAGGATATTTGAAGTTTACCACATTATTTAAAAAAGTGTCTGTGTAAATAAAAAAAATGTTGTTAATTATAAAGATTTTCTATCACCTAAATGAAAGTTTTCCCTAATTAATCATGAGTATCGTTTAAAAAAAACCTTATTCATCTGATTTAGGTGATTTAATATGCAAATCTCTCCTTTATGTTGGCCTACCAAATCTATATACCTATCACCCCCTATCAAAAGTAAAGACTAAAAAATAGAAATGTTGAGAATATCACATTGAGAATTAAATTATTAATTAATATTAACGTAATTAAAAATATTAACGCCACTCTGGCCATTATGAGAGACAAATACTTGAATTAGGAAATGTGTTATCTTTGAAGATGCGTGTCATCAAAAATGAGCTTGCGTGTCAGCACTTACACGCGTATCATAGGTTCGCCATCACTGCCCTATATTGAGAAAAATATTTTTAAAATGTACTCAACAGTTTTTACCGTACAGAGTTCTACAGGGTGTCCCCAAAAAAAGTTATGCATCAAAGTTGTAATTTTTTTTGTAATAGAACCCCCTATATATTAATTGATTTTCGGATTCTCGTAAAAAATAAATTTGTGTTTCAATATGGAAGCATATTATGCCTAAATTATAAGAATTATGACCTAATTCGCATTTTGTGAAAGTTAAGAATACATTTTAAATTTCAATAATACCTATCTAAATTGTAATTTACTTTTTATATCCTGATATTATATTAAAATAACTATTGTATATTGTATGTCAAACGAAATTTTGACTCGAAAAGTTATATAGCGTCACTTTTAAAAGCAAGTTACTCCTTTATTTTAAATGGAATACCCATATATTATTTCGATATTCAATTGAGAATTCTCTTTATTAAGGTTGTCTACACCTTAGACAAAACTTCTCCTAGATATTTTAATTATTATTTCCCGTCAGTAGATCTTTATTTACATAAAATCTAGGTGGATGGGATGGATATACGCTACAAAAGCCAAATCAATAAGACTAAGTCTCAGTCTCAACATTATTATGTGGGATATACCTTTTGTTAATTTAAATTAAAGGATGTAGAATCAAATGATCAGAATGCTTTTCCTATTCTGCATAAAATGCTTCTTTTCAAAAGATATTTTCATCTTAAAAGGCATATGTGGAGTTCTCTTTGAAAAGCAGCCACAATCATTTTTATCATGTTGTCGAAAATAGTTGGTCGAGTTTTGTTAACACTGTATCCCTATAAAAAAAAGTCCAGACTAGCTGAATCAAATGAGTCTTAGACTTCTAAGAATTAGAAAAAAAGCATCATTAATTAATTTGAAATTTAACTATAAAAATAAAAATAAAATTGAAAACACATCAGTTTTTTTAAAAAATCTCGAAAACCGCCTGAATTAAGAGCTAAAAATTTAGGTGAATTATTTTGATTCGACACCAAATCGATCCCCTGAGTGTAAGTCATCGCGGGGGTAGATTTTCTATATTAATCCGGCTATACTCTTTCTAAGAATTTTTTCTGTTTTAATTGACACAAATTGATTTATAACTAGTTGAAATTGAACTAATTTGACAGCTGGTGTTGGAGTAACATCAGACATAGCCACCTAGATTTTATCAAAAAATAATAAAGATATACTGACCCTAAATTATAAAAATTTAAATATCTAAGAAAATTGTTGTGTAAGTGGTAGACAATAACCTTAATAGTATTTTGAAGAGACATGAATTCCCCATTAAATATCGGAATAATATACCCAGTATATATTATTCCCCATTTAAAATACTAGAGTAACTTGCTTTTAAAAGTGACCAATTGTTCAATATTATTTTTATCTCACCCTGTATAACTTTTTGGGTCAAATTTTAATTTGATTATGTACGATCCTTTCATTGAAATTTAAAAATTGTTCATAATGCTTAGAAAATGTTAATTAAATATATCAAAAATCTTACATTTTAGTCATAATATACTTTTTTAATGAAACTCACTTTTATTTTTGATCTAAAATTCGAAAATGAAATAATATATAGGACGTTCTATTACAAAAATCAACTGTGATGTGTAACTTTTTTTGGTGACATTCTTTAGAACTCTATATTTTCAAAAAAAAATAACCTCACCAAATTTTCTCCAAAAATATGCTGACATTTTTGACAGATGAATTTGACAGATAAAATTTCTGACAGATGAATGTTTCAGCCAATAGAATTACTGGAAATCTATTCAAGGTCATTACGCCGTTACGCCGATACGCCGTTTTTAGGATAGTGTGGCTGCACCCTTAGAGCCTCCGCGGCGTATGAGAGGCGCTACCCTGTATAGATTATTTTTATTTATCTCTACCGAATACGTCTCAAAAGCAGGGTTGGAAAAAATCATGATTTTTTAAAAAAAATCAAAAAAATCAGATTTTTTTTATTTAAATCAGTTTTTTTTTATTTAAATCGGATTTTTTTGATTTTAATTCAAAACTATATTTAAATCGGATTTCCAAATGACTAGGACTTATTTCCAAATAAAGTCCTATCTTGAATGGCTAAATCTATACCCCGATACCGATAACATTAACAATTCTACGGGGCGTTGTGATTTTTCCACGCCGCGTCGGTCACCAATATGTATATTCCGCAAAAAAAAGTGGTTCGCTTTAGATGAAAAGGATTTTTTTTTCAAACGTCTCAAAAGTATTAATTTTTGTCATTTTAACGCCTAGGCATAAAGCACTGTTCCGCCTAAGCACAAAAGTACAAAAATATATTATTAAACTGATATAAGTGTCATATCCAACGAGTGTACAAATTATTGCTCGATTACTGTTTATATTATTTGCAATGTTTGAAATTAATTAAAAAATTATTTGTAATGTTTGAAAAAAATAGTATGTTCTATTTGGAGTAAAAATTTACTTTTTGTGCCTCCCTGTAACGTCGGATGGTAGCTTTACGATGGTCCTTCAAAGGTGCATCGTCAAAAACGTATAATTTTTACTTCTAATAAAACAATACACTATTGTTCGGAAAAAGTCAAGAATGAAATTAGTACTTATGTATTATCTAATGTCAAAGTGTAAAGTACTTACTGCAGGTCAAAATGTCGGTAGGAATTTGGAAACATACAACCGTTTCAAAAAAATATAAAACAACATAATATATTCTGACAACGATTATAGATTCTCGGGAATGAAGATATAGTCTCTATATGTATTAGAAGAACATAGTTTAATGGATTCACACGAAATTAGTTCAAAAATCGGTCCAACAATTAAATTGATGAATAGATATTTTTATATAGTTTTATAACATTTAAAATTTTTGTCGATTTATTATCTGTTATATCTGTTATAGAAATATTTTTTATAGTTTTCTAGGACACATTTTTATAATTTTTACAGTTATTTTTTGATTTATAATAAATTTTCAATAAAATTATTTTTTTTTATTTAAATCACATGATTAAAATTAAAAAAATCACTTGAACAACCCTGCTCAAAAGTGGCTCACCCCTATAACTTTTGTTATGTTTTTAGAGAAAACAACGAGATTTGGTATGTGTATATCAAGGGTGTATATGAAATAAATTAGGATTGATTGACGTTTTCAATAGATTTTGGTCACTTCCTGTTTCACCGGAAATGACAACCACTTTTGATTTTTAAATAACACCCTCGGTATTTTTTTACATTATTCGACAGAAAATGACACCCTGAATAGAATGACAAAATAATTGATATCATTTGTCAACTTTTGACATTTTCGCATATGGTTTATTTGAAATTGTAACATGCGGTTCATAACGACAATGTTACTCGAAATACCAAGTGTATCGTACCAAATTATTCGTAAAAAAATATTTTTCCAAATATCCTAATGAGTTACCCTAGTTCCATTTGAAAATCTATTTTTCCAAGGCTCCTTGATTAAAAATTAGTGTTTCTAACGCAGTCATAGCACTCTAGATTGAAATTTAAAATACGATTTGTTTGTGCTTTTATTTTAACTGTGAACATACAGAAAGTACAGCATACAACATAGTATAAAAAAATTTCTTTTAAAACAAGTAATGGAGTATTGTTGGTTTCATAATATTCATTCCGTGCATCCTGTGCACTCACTCTTCTACTTTAAAAACAAACATAGCAGAATAGCATGGCGCTATAAGTCCTATGTTCAGAGTTAAATTAAAAATACTGTATGTCATTCTATTCAGTCATTTTTTTTCAAATAAAGTAAAATATACTGAGGGTGCCATTTAAAAATGAAAAGTTGTAGTCATTTCCGGTGAAACAGGAAGTGACCAAAAACAATTGAATACGTCAACAACCAAATCAATCCTAATTTATGTAATATACTAACATACCAAATCTCGTTTTGTTATGTGAAAAAATAAAAAAGTTATAGGGGTGGGCTACTTTTCGAGACGAACCCGGTATTAACCAAATCGGTTTTAAGTCTCATTAAAGGGATAGGATAAATAAAAAGTACAACTATGACTAACTGTTTCTACTATTATAGAAACAATATTTATTTATATATTACATCACTTCGACTCATATAAGAATCGTACACATAAAAAATTGTATTTTTCTAACAAACATTCAGGGAGCACAGTATAATTTTTTATCTACATAATTTTTAAAAAGGCGGGAGTATTTACACGCGTTTTACTTTTAAATGATCTTTTTTCGTATGTATAGGTCATCAAGTTACCATACTCCAAAATACCCTCTATACTAGAAAATGTCAAAAATTAGGTTGCAGTATTTCGACTTGGTGACTTGGAGGCCTATATTTCACTTTTTCTAATAAATACAGCGTTAAAGACCAAGGCCTAAGGTCACCAGTTGGTCAATAAGGAATTTCTAAACGAACTGCTATTGAATTTACATCACTTTGGCGGAATTGAACTAAACGTGTATATAATTGTCAATTGTCTAAATGGCACCATTTTTAATTAACAATTACGAAACAATTATTCTAGAATTATAACTAAAAATATTCATTACATAATGCTAAAACGTACTAATATTGCGATAACAAACAAACAAACAAAAAAGAAAGAAATGTCTGAATATAAAGGCCTTGGATTATATTTGAACGAAAAAGCTCAGACACAAACTACTTAGTACATTTGTTTTTGAGTATTAAAAATTTTAAATCACTGTATATATTAAGCGTCCGTGCCACTTATAAAAATGCTTTACTAAATCAAAGTTGGTCCACAAAATTGATAAAACAATACAGGGCGTGTAATCAATACACAATTTGCGTAGAGAAAAATGTTCACTCATTTAATACCCTGACGTCCCAAAAGACATTTAAAAATATGTTTAAATTTGGATAACTGCTGCTCTTTTAGATTTATAGTACAAATCAAAAAAATTGGCAATATACTTTTCAATAATTTTATTGAACTCCCATTTGGTCTAAAATTACTCTATATTTTGGTCCATTCTAAAAAACTACAACTAAAACTTTCGTTTTAATAGTGGCACAGAGCATATCAAGCAACATCAAAGAAAGTCGAGAATGTAACAAATAAATAGGTTATTTTTAGATTTACGAGAATACACAATAACTTTACAAGATACAAGTAAAAAAAGATACCTAATAAAGGATGATAGATCATCAGTCTTAATAAATAAATTACCTATTTAAAAGAATATTTACAAATAAATAAAAGTTCGTATTGATGTGTATATTACATTGTTTTACTCTTTTTTTCACAAAAGCAAGTTTGCTTGAAAATACAATATTTACAGTTTATCGAAAAATGCTTAGGCAGTTTTACAACTATATGAACAAGGATAAACGAACTGAGAGATATTCTCGTCCATATTATTTTTTTCACAAATACTCGTCCATTTCTTATTAAAATAGTTAAAATATAATAACATATAAATTGAACACTGACGAGAATACTAAACAATGTATTTTTTTATATAAGTGTATTGAACAAATATTACCCTCGTTTCCAATTCTACATACATATTTCTATTTCATCCTGTTCAAAGCAATGACTGTGTTGCGTGATGAACCGTTTAACATAAAATATCTATTACTTACAACAAGAACTGTACTCTAAATACGAAGCTCGTAGGGGGAAAACATTCTATTGAATTTATTATGTAGCTTGCGACATAATTTAATGAAATAAATACACGCACAGTTTAAATAAAGTTAAACAGTGTATACATGCAGTTCTAAGATTATTATCTTTCGTCATTATTAATTGAATCTTTTCTAATAGTGTTTTGCACATTTTCAGTCAGTGGTATTCATACTATTTGGTGAAATTTATTATATTAATGTTGTTAGACTTATGTTCAGTACCTGAGGGGGCGCAGGGGATTAACCCTCAACCTCGAATTATTGCGACATTCAAATTGATATAGAAAAAATCTATTTGAATTTCTTTATAAGAGACCTCTTCAAAAAGAAAAAAAAGTTTTTTAACACTGTTTTCTGTTCATATAAAAATAGTGTCTAATATTAAGTGTAGATTTACATGCATCCGTAATGCGTCTTTCCAGACAATACATGGCGGAAGCATCAAAACCCACACTTAGTTTTTAAGTAAAAAAATGTGTGTTTTGATATTAAAAAATAACACCGATATATTATATTACCCAAGGGAGTTAAGTTTCCCAAATGTCATTGAACAGATATGAACTGTAGATCACATATTTCGTGGATGTCCCTACACCATATGTCCAACTCACTAACACTTATGAGACTCACGCCCAGTAAGTTCAGCACGGGAAGTTAGATGTAGGGATGACTGATATTGATAAAAATTATCTAAATGATATAAAGTTTGACTTGTGAGCTTGACGTGACACAACTGTCTATCTATTGCATGAGTTTAAGCCTAGATCATTATAAGCCTAGTTCATACACTTGCGAATTGCGATTTACGAATTGCGAAATGCGTTCTATTTTCGTTCTGATTGGCCCCATTCAAGGAAGACCTTGAAAGCGACCAATTACAAGGCAAAAAGAACGCATTTCGCAAGTGTATGTATGTGTATATTAGGTGAATAGGGTTTCCAAACCGGGATCCCGAAATCCCAGTTTGGAAAACTGCCGGCTGTGGGATTCGAACCCACAACCTATAGATTGGTAGACGAGAACTGTACCTCTACGCCACCACGCATATGTTTTCTATATTATTATTATTATTATTATGGATATACTCTTTTATATTAGCTTTATATTTATTAATTAAAAATACCGTATGATGAAAAAAAAAACGGCGTCCAGTTGCCTGGGAAATAACGATCGATGACATTTTCCATATAAAATGAAAGCGATTTTCATTTCGTAGCCATCGCTGACGCCGTTTTTTTTTCAACCAGACGGTACAATACAAATATTGGAAAAATAGACCAATATCACTGGTTTTCCGACTTAGTTGAATTGATAATTTTACTGATATCTGAGCAACTTTTTGATTTGTATTGATCAATTACATCAATATCAGCTAGTCAATCACAGTAAAGAATCTGTTAAATGACACTTAGAAAATTTAATTTGACCTAGGTAATAAATATACCACTGTGATGAAAATTTTTAGATTTAATTATTCAGAATTTGAAAACCACCAACAAAATTGATATAATAACGTGTACAATAATTAATTTAATTTAATTTTAATTTTTGATCTTTAAAAACAGTCGTGTGAGATTTAAATTCAAATTTAATGACTTTTGTATTCTATATGCCAGCTAACACGGTCCAGACCATTTTGCTAGAAAAGCGACAGTTTGCATAAAAAAGTGCGCAGGTTAAAATAAGGGACGTGACGAAAACACCTAAACACAGAACCCGTTTGAATATTGCTGTGGATAGACCGCCGCACATTTTGAACATCCAGTGGCTCCCTTACTTCTAATTTACTTAAAGCTTTTGTAATCTAGAATTTGTACTTTTCTTCGAAAATTTAAATTTCCCTTATTTCAACCCACAGCTGCGTATAATCAATTTATTCTACCGTTACAAAACATTACTGTAAAAATATTTTGAGGAACTAGCTATCCGCGTTCCTTTTGATTACGTTTACTTTATTTGAGATCATCAAAAGAAAGATACAAATTGCGAATATAAACATGTCGTTCCCTTCAATGTCGCTTGAAAGACAAATCGCTGGGTTTTCCGCTGGTTTATCAACTTTACAAACGTCGAAAAAAATGAAAACTAAAAAGGACAGTCAAAGAGAAGGACATACTCAATTCGCGTACAACACACTTGAGAACACTGATTTACGCTGAAAATACAAAGATGTGTCGAATATTTCAGCGTAGGTACAGAGCGACTTATTAGTATTTTCTTTGCTATTATTAATCACTCGCTCGCTCTAAAGACACCTTTAATAAATCACAATGAAAGAATTTTTTGAAATGCGTTTCAATCAAAACAATCGATTTCAAGACCTACTGAAAGAAACAACTTTTTAAATACAGGGTGTTTCAAAAAATATGTGCCATCTCTCGTGGGGAGATTAATCACGTAAAAATAAGATTTATTTTTCATATCACAATAGGTCCAATTCTGCTTGCACTAACAGGGTGTTAAAGTCTTAATATTTTTTCGATTTATTATAATTTTCTTCCAAGTACCTTTAGCGCCTCAAATGAAATTTTGATGGTAAAAGTTACTGTAAATGCGACATATTTTAAAGCAAAAAAAGTGTCGACATATTCACCAGGGACGTGCATATGGGTTATCACTGGAATACTTTTCCAAAAAAAGTATGTACGCCACTGACTTTTATTTCTCTTGTTATCGAAATAGTGTAAGCAGTTTAATGCCGATAAAAGTTGTCTCTTGAAATTTTGACGATTTCGACCTCCTAGATGAGATAAATTCAATTTTATTAATTATTTGCCTTGATCCAAGTCTAATAGCAACCTTTAAAAAAATTTAATATTATTGGCTTGCGAAAGTTTTAAATAAGTAGTCACTGATTCCTCATCAAAAAATATAAAAAAAAGTTCCTATAAACAAATATGTGTATGGAAATGCATAGTTTTTGAGTTACAGGATGTTAACATTTTTTAAAATTTGTTTTTTTGTGATTATCTTAAATACCATTATTTTTTTATTCGAAACTGCTGTAGTTTGAACTAATAGTAATAATGTTTAATAATAAATTAAGTAAAATATATAATTTATTAATTTTATTTTAATTTTATTAATTGTGATTAATAAAATTGCGTTTATCTCACCAAGGAGGGCGAATTCGACGAAATATAAGGAGATAACTTTTAATTGGCATTAAGCGGCCTACACAATTTTTATATCAAAAGAAAAAGGTCAGTGGCGCACATGATTTTTTTTGAAAAATATTCCAGTGATAACCTATACGCACGTCCCTGATGAATTTCTCGGCACTTGTTTAGCATTAAAATATGTAGCACTTATAGTAACTTTTACCCTCAAAATTTCATTCGAATCACTAAAAGTACTTGGAAGAAAATTATAATAAATCGAAAGATTATTAAGACTTTCACACCCTGTAGCTACAAAACAAAGCAGAATAGGGCCTACATATATTGATATGAGAAATAAATTTTATTTTTACATGAGGAATCTCCCCACGAGAGATGGCACATGTTTTTTAAAACACCCTCTATAAGATGATATACAAATTCTTAGATGCGCAATAGGGAATCAAATCGGAATTCTACGCATGTCAACTTGGGATAGTCCTGTTACTATACTACAAGTAAATGTGGGTCGAAACGGTTTTTGAACTGATTTTAGAATTAAATTCAAAACCCAATTTTAATTGTTAGTGTGGGTTATATTATATGTTTTCGATATAAATCTCGAATTTTGTATTTTATTGGATTTATTTACAGAATATTGAATTTATTTATTTTTAATTAATACAGAATCACCTTTGCTTTATGTAACAAAAGTTTCAAATTATCTTCTTGGTATCCACATACTCAATATCACTGCCCTCTTTGTCACTCCATCATATTTAGTTCAAAATATAAAAATACTTATTTATAGATGTATAAAAAGGATAAATACCAAATAAAACTTGACGAATAAGCAAATTAAAAACAGACAATTTATAAAGAAATAAAAGAAAAGAACAATTACAATTCCGGTGGGAACGTAAGGCTAAACGATTCTCTCGTTGACGGGCATTTTCTCTATTGCGCATAAGCGTAACAGTACCAAGCTCTGCTATGCTGGAACAAATCTAATTTATGTCCTCTTAATACAGTATACAGTGTTGATTGTTTTGATCGAGCAGCATCGAAAAACAAAATAAAAAAGGAAAGAAAATCTAACGCTAGTAGTAATAGTAACAACCTTATCACGGTAACACTCCCGTATTGTTCTGGGAAGTGTTCACCCCACTGTTCAGTCGCTATCGGGGCTCCTCCTTTTTATGAAGATCTGTGGGTGGGGTGGCGCTCATTTTATGAACAGAAGGTGGTGGGCCAGGGCCACCTCTCAAGTGCAGTAACGATGGGTCTTTTGGCCTAAAAATAAAAATTAAGATAAATAATTTTATATATATAAATTCATGTTATTACATGTTTTGGAATAATGCGTATACAGGGTGTTTTTCAAAAGTAGCTCACCACTATAACGTTTTTATTTTTTTCCAAAAACGAAATTTGGTATATATATGACATAAGTTGGGATTGATTCAATTAGTTTTGGTCACTTCCTATTTCACCGGAAATGGCTACAACTTTTGATTCATAAATGGTAGGTACCTTCGGTATTTTTTATTTTATTTGATAGAGAACGACATTCTGAATAGAATGACATATGTCAACTTTAGACATTTAAAAAATAACAATTATTTAAATTTCAATCTAGAGTGTCATGGCTGTGTTAAAACCCCTAATTTTTAATCAAAGAGCCTTTAAAAAATATATTTGATGGTTTAATGATTTTTGCGTCTTTTCCTGGTGGCTTAAAAGATATCGAAATTATATTTTTAATCTTAACTCATTTTTTTCAAATTGAACGATTCTGAGCTGAGCTGAGTAGCATATTGGGAAAAAGATTTTTTTACAAATAATTTGGTAACACATACTTGGTGTTTCGAATCAAATTGACGTTATATTTGTTGTCCTGGCACTCCGGACTGAAATTTAAGATACCTCTACTATTATTTTTAAGAGAAAATATCAAATGTTCATTTTCTCTTAAAAATGAATGACATATGATGTCACATTATATTCACAATGTCACTTTCTATGAAATAAAGAAAAAAAATATCCAGGCCAAGAAATAATCGTTACAGAAATTATAACATGATGAGTGTTAAATAAGTGCAAATATTTTCTCAGCTGGTAGATCTCTATAAAAGATACATATTTTCTCTTTATCGTTTTTCAAATAAATCCAAAATAACCGAATTATTTTACTTTGAAAATTTCGAAAAAAAAAATTTTTTTTGGTAACAAGTTTGTTGTTGAGAAAAAAAAAATTTTCTCAACAACCACTGGATCTGTGCTGAATTTTCTTTCTTGTAAATTTGATCTACTATCTGTGTTGCCATATTATTAAGAAATTATGTTTTCTGACTAAAAACTAAAAACATTTACAAACATTTTTTCAAAAAATTTCACGAAAGAAACCTCATAATCATGTTTCTGGGATCGAAATATACTACCCCTAAAAATATTTGCATATATTTAAGACTCTCCCTGTATAAATAAGAGACAATAGACAGCATATATTTTCAAAAGAGAAAAGCGGCAAATGATGGAAAATGTGTAAATAACTTAGACAATAGGCAGCATATAATTTCAAAAGAGAAAAGCGGCAAATGGTGGAAAATGTCTTTTATCTATTAGAACTTAAAGGTAAATTAGAAACAATTATTAATCACATTTTTTCTTTCAACTGTTGAGGGGAATAGAAATGTGTACTATACAAGTAAATTAAAGGTTATTTAATTTGAATTTTTTTTATAATTTTAGATTTTTTTTTGAATGTCTTTAAAACAGTTAAGAAGGAAAATAAAAATAAAATCTAAAAGAAAGGAAAAACAAATAGGTAAGAGGAACCAAAAATGTTTTCGTCAGTTACATTAATTCTAGCTTTACCTCAACTGTGACGGGTGATGAGCTGGGGGACCATATGCAGCTCCATAAAACGCAGCTCTCTCGTCCAACGGTCTCATTGTTTCCATCAGGGGATTGTACCCGTAGCGGTAATAGGGATCCGACGCGATGGTGGTAGGAGGCCAATGGGTGGCCGGAGGTGGATAGTGAGGAGGCAACGCGTGCGCCAACATTCGAGACCGATCCAGGGCCGAAGGAGGACCCTGCAGTGTACCGGGATGGCGTAAGTATGGATGGTACCTGTAATAAATCAGTTTAATGATTAGATTAATACTATTCGGAATAAACAGCTAATAAGAAATATTTTTATTTCAATAAGATAAGATATTCTCTACTCTAAAATATATTTTAGAGTATTCAATGTCGTCAATACTCATTCTCTTTAATAAAATTTTAAACAGTCTTTACACTATGCGGAAAAGTCTTCGAAACAGGTCAAGGTCGCGTTTCATAGCTCAACTTTGTCGCATTTCGGTTTATTTCCAGTTGTCTTGGCCCATTTCGGTTTGCCTCGACCTACTTTCGATTATTAAAAGCGCCTAAAAACTACTCGTGAGGAGGGCGTGGGGGGATTTTCTTTGGCGTTTCTTGTTGCCTCGTTCAACTTTGTTTCGTTTTGAGGTATTTCCAAAACGTGTCGGTATCTGTACCCAAGGCAAAGGACTTTTTTTCACTCAATCTCAGTGAAATAAGTAAACCTAGACGTTTCTAAAACAGCTGTTGTTACGATGATATTTCGTTAATTACATCTCGCTGTATGTTGATACATATTCCACAAAATTAATATTTGAACACGCGTTTATAATAATATGTATAGTAGATATTTAAGAACTAAACTTTTCACTTAAACTGCAGGAATATAATTACAATATTTTTATGATTTAATTTTATTATAATGAATTAGTATATAAAATTGGATATGATATGTTTGTTTACAGTTAATTGGTTAATATAAGAGTTAAGAGTAATATTGCTTGATGTGTAATACAGGCAACATTATCAATATATCGAGCTGATTGGGAAAATTAGTGATTGACCCGATGTCAACAAAAGTATGGTCCACGGACATTTTTTAAAGGCAATGTTCCTTTATTGTTCTTAAGGGAAATCTGTAAACGATACTTTTATTAGCACCCAGCAGGATTTGATATAAATCCATTGAACTAGTATTTATTATGCAAGGGTTTAGACAATTAAAACTAGGAAAACAAAACCAAATTCGTAAACTTTGCTACAGACTACAGTATAAATGTTACTTTACCATAACCAAAAATAATAAATAGTTTTTTAAATTTCTATGTATATTTTGTTCATGAGGCGCAATACCGTGGATTCTAAGCCGATAAATGCTAAACCGCTAGTTCACTGCTAGTCACTGATTTAATTTTTTTGACTATACATATTGTAATTAATAATATTAGACAATGATTAACACTAAATATTCTTGTGTAACCTTCGAGGAATAGCCAATTTAATCTACCACCGGTAACTGTTTTCATATAAGTTTTTCCATGTTTCTTTATTTTTCTGAAGCCACCACAACGTTTGACCTTGATTGCTTCGTGCTATTTCACAAAATAGTACGATAAATATAATCGAGACGCGCCGTGATTGGTTGTTTGTTTTTTATTGTTAATCTGGGTTAACAATAAAAATCAAACCACCAATTACGGCGGGTCTCGATCTATTTCAGGAAACGTGGGAACTAATTTTTATAACACGGGCTTATATTTATCGTACTATTTTCAGAAATGTTTTGCGAAATGTTTTACGAAATATTTCCAAAAATATTTAGTAAAACATTTCGGGAATAGTGTAGAGGCTGTTTTAAACCAGAATTAACTTCATTCAGACAGATTATGTCAATACCTACTAAGAACAACAAAATTACCTTGGATCTGCTCTGACCATTAGGTCTTCTTCTTTCACTCTCGGCTCTTCCTTAACCCTTATATCGCTGACTTCAGGCTGTCCGTTTCTTAAGGGCGATCTGTCCCTGATAACGGGCGGGGGTAACGCTTGTTTGGCCGCAGATTCGGCAGCTGCCAGTCGCTGCTGGTGTAACATCATCTCTCTTTCTCTCTCCCTTCTTTCGTTCTCGCGCCTCTCCATTTCGCGTCGTTCTTTCTCTCTACGTTCGCGTTCTCTTTCTTGCTGTTGCTAAAACACAATAATATACAATAAATAAAGGACGAAGATTAAATTTAAGTAACTTATTACACATACAAGCAATACAGGACAGGTTGAGATTTAACGCATGTTATTTTACAACTGTTATTTATTAAGTAACAGTTTGCAACAGTTGTTTCTTTGTAAAAATATCAGTTCGCTGACAGCAATGGTCAACCAGATTCTCAACAGTTGTTCTATACACATACATATACAACCAATATAGAGACATGTTCTGATTTCATGATCTGTTATTTTACAACTGTTATTTGTGACATAAAACAGTTTATAACAGTTGTTGCTTTATAAAAATAACAGTTACAAAAATAACAGTTACAAAAATACCAGTTCGCTGACAGCGATGGTTCATAATGTAAAGTCGGTATCGCCATGCCTCGAAATTCTACAACGTACAGTTCCAAAAAAAACAGGTATAGAAATAACGGTCCACAGACAGCAATCACTGCGATGCGATGAGATGTCAAGATAGTCGCGTCATAAGTTTTACCAGATTCGGAACAGTTGTTTTTAACAAAAAATATCAGATATGAAATAATAAGTACGCTGATATAGATGGTTTGCGATGTGAAATACGGATTCCCACGCCACGAAATTTTAACAGGGTTTTGAGTAAGCAAGTCACTATTATTTTTAATTTCGACAGCATAAAGATCATTCAGCAGTTTTTCTGTAGATTTGTAACAGTGCAGTGATCTGCACTGTTAAGTAAGTAAATAGAAAACTACTGATAGTGAGGGTATCTGTACTGCTATATCAAAAATGCTTAATGAAGTAGCTATCTACTTCTTTTCTTTTTCTTTTTGAAAAACTTTGTAATTTTGTCAAAAGTTTCAAGTTTTGAGTCAAAGTTTGTAATTAAGAATTATATAATCAATTGATTAAAATTAATTGTTTTTTGTCTTTTTATCTAATGGTTATAAATTGTTAGAATGGTTATAACCACAAATAAACTCACCTGTTGTTCAAGACGTCTCTGTTTCTCTTCTCTTTCTCGCCTTTCCCGTTCTTCTCTTTCTCTCCGTTGTCTCTCGCGTTCCCGCTCTTCTCTTGCTTCACGCTCTCTTTGTTCCAGTACTGGATCTGGTTTTATCGTCCATGGAGCTGGTGGTGGTAACCCTAATAGAAATACAAATTATGTATAAAAAAATCAGATATTGGAATGTAATTTGTATTAATCTGATTTATCTTACTAAATATCAAATAAATAAATAAAAAATGAAGAGTAGGTTTACTTACCAGGTAGGGTTGGTGGAAGAGCGTTCACCGCGGAAGGAAATCCCGCTATCGTCCTTTGCATCCGCCATGGATCGTGATGTAGAGGCCCCAGACCAAGGTGCGCTGCATCTCTTGATGTCGCGAATGGTGACACTCCAAAGGGTGATGCAGCAGACGCTCCTAGCGGCCCCGTTGCGTACCTAGTGAACGGTGACATCGAGGAACCAGCAAATGGAGATTTACCTGTTCAGAATTCATAATTAAAAAGCTATAGTAATAATGAATTAAATAATAAAATGGTTGAAGAAAAAAATACAGTTTTCACTTGTACGTGATTAACCTTAATGCCATATAGGATTTTAGAAATAAGTATTAACATAGCTTACCTAAATGACCAGGAGGTGGTCCGAACAATGCTCCCGCATGATGGGGTGGCTGATCGAAACCCACGGGTCTGTGCCCGCTTAAGGCTGATGGTGGGTAAGGTGCCAGCTCCGGAGGTCTCGCGTGAATTCCTGGAGAGAATAGGTGCGACGGGGCCCTTAGCAAGTCCGATGCAGGGTGCACTCCCGGTTTGGAGGCCACAGCTGTCAGTGCTCCCTTTGCGTCGCCGCTCTTCTGCTGGTGGTGGTAGATCTCCCATGCGACACGAACGTGCATAGCATTCCATTTGCCAGTTTTCTAGAAGGATTAAGAATTAGGATGACAGCCATAATAATCTAATCCTCAAACTACTAAAGTTGTTTGCTAATTCTTTTAGAGATAAATTCTTAATCCCATTTGTTAGAATTTCAATAATTTTACAAATTTTAAAGCTATGTTTACTGTGACTTTCTTTTGGGGAAAAATATAAGAAATCAAAACTTTAATATTTTGTATACAGGGTGGTCCGAACTGTATTTCGGAAACTTCGGCAGCATATTCTGCATATAAAAATAAGTAAAATAGTTCGTATAAACGTATGTCCTAAAATGCTTCCTTTTTGAGATACAGGGTGTAGAAATTCATTTTCATTACGATTTTTTACAAATAATTTCTGAAGTATAGTCGATATTTGGACTATTTTTTTGGAGACATTTTTTAGGTAGAAAATGACGAAAATGTATATTTTTTCACTCAGTAGTTTTATACAGGTACGGATGAAAAGCGATTGCTCTTCAAAACAGTTAAAACATATGTAGGTGTCGCACCCTACAAATGGGAGTAATATTGACATTGAAATGAAATTTCTCATGTTAAAGAACACCCAAACACCAATTTTTATCCAAATATCGACTATAGTTCAGAAATTATTTTAAAAAAAATCGAAATAAAAATTAAACTTCTACACCCTGTATCTAAGAAACGAAGCATTTTAGAACATACGAACATTTTTACTTATTTTTATGTGCAGAATATGCTGCCGAAGTTTCTGGAATACAGTTTGGACCACCCTGTATATAGGATCTAATCCTCGAACTTTTTCAAAGTATATTTAATGTCTAATTAAGAAATTTCTTAATCAAGAGAACTTTCAGTATGACAGTAAAGAAAATTATATTCTAAAATTCCATAAGAACTATTTCTCTGTCATTATGCAAAGCATACTTGATCATAAAAGCTTTTGATCACTTATATATTTCAAGGTATATTATTACTATCTTATGTGTTTCATTCCCAATTTTTCAAGCATTATCTTATATTTAACGAATTATATTATTTCTAACAGATGAACTAAAAACGTATGTTAATGTAATGATGTTAATGAAGGAAAATGTTACATACCATCACTTTGGGCTTCGTGGGATCATGGGGTGTCAGCGACTGTGAAAACAAAACAAAGAAAAGCGTTAGGGACTGCAAGCATTCAAGTCGAAGCATAATACGATTAAGATAAATTACATGCTGTTTCCAAGCAGTCTTAGGCAGCCCTGTTATTGAAACAGCATTAAAGTTTAAAAAAATTAGTCAAAACATATGATGGGTGTGTTCATGAATGATGAATTGAGCAAATGAAACGATGTTGATATAATTAAAAATTAGAATCGTTAGGAAGTACAGTGCGTCCAGTGATTGAATGATAGAATATATTCAGTTTAGTTTTTTCATTTTTTGAATATCATCATCCCTTAGAATCATTTCTGAAAGATTATGATATCCAAAAAATAACCGAAAAACTGAGAAGTGTGACTATGTATTATTTTGTTGATCAGAGTATATATTAATAAGAAAATTGTTTTTACCTTTGGTTGGAACGTGGGTAGATGATTTGGAGGAACAAATGGAGTAGGTCCAGTCGTCAAACCTGGATGACCCATTAACCCCGGATTGTACCCTGGATAACCTGGAACTCCCAACCCTTGTCTATAGAATGGAGATTCGACACCGCCAAGCTTGGAAATGTCCTTAAACTGAAATATACACAAAAAACGAATAAAATTAATTTTCATACAAAATATTCTCTTTATTAGATAAAGACCCTACACTTGCAAAATTGCTGGTAACAATACAACAAGTTTTAGGTACACATCTGTCATACTCACACTGCTCTGAGCTCCTCTAGCCAGCCGGTCCATTGGCGATAATGGCTGAATTTAAAAGAAAAATATATTAGCTTAATATTATTTTGTAATCGCTAGCAGTTTCACAAAACTCGAAATGTATTATTAACTCTCTTTGTATAATGTTTACATGCAAAATTTACAAAAAAAAAGGCTTGAATAGCACATACCAACTGCGAAGAAAATAACGCAGAAGCCGACGGTGGTGGCAGTAATGACGTTGTATGCTGATGCACATGGGTATGGTGATGTTGATGTTGGTGCATTTCTGTTCGTAGGTATGGTGAAGGAGGAACTCCTAGAGCTCGATCTTGAGAGGCCAAAAACCGATTGTCCAATTCTCTGCGTAACATATCCGTTTGGTCTGGAAATGGATGTTTCTCTTCAGAAACAAAGGTAAGGATCGCGTTAGTTTGAAAATATTTAGTGAAATTAGCAGTAAAATGATCTTTTTTTTTAATTTTACATTGAAAATTAATACTTACTCGTTTGAAAAAGACTTTCCGCTGAAAATGGGTTGGGATTCGTCGTGGTTGTGGCAGAAGATGTCAACGGGCTGGCCGTCGAAACTCTTGGCGGAGCCAATGACGGTGGTGCAAACAATGGCGGCGCTCCTGATGAAGGATAGGTGTTTGTATGCATCGGAGGCGCTGGTCTTGGAGGTGCCGGGCTATAACAAAGATAACCGTATTTTTCTACAATTAAATTCATCGGGTTTCTTAGCCAATAGAATTTCTTCTGATTTCATTGTGAATCTACTTCTAGCTTAATCAGTATTATTTGGTTAATCGGTATCATTAATTACCTGAGCCTCGTTGTTAACGGGGCAGTGGTTGGTGCCACCGTTGCTGGTGCAGCCCATGGTTTAGCCAAAGACAACGGAGCAGCTACCGATGGAGCTGTTAGACTAGAAGATACCGTCGTAGGCGGTTGGGGTAGTGTTGGATGACTCTGAACTGACGTGGAGGTTGGTACGCTACTTCGGCTTAAAGATGTAACGCTGTTGAAAAAATTGCGTCAATGATTAGTCAAATAAATTGTGACGTAAAAAAATCTAAAACTAATTCAAAATTGTTAAGGATCATAATACATTTAATGACTAAATCTAAATTGTTAAAGATCATATTAAACATTCTTTGTTGGTCTGGCAAATTTGTTTACAAGTAAAAAGCCACTGAATAACTTGCTCCGCTATGAATCTAATGCAGTGGCGTTTTACAAAAAAATTATCACAGCATTTGTCGGATTTTTTTAAAATCATGTTTGGGTAATTTAGTATAGCAATCTAGCAAAAATTACACTAATAAGCTATTTGTTTTTGACTTAATTTGCGACGGTAAAATACAAAACACTAATTCGATGATAGTAATTTTGCTTGTGTCGGTTCTGTTTAGCACTATTTTAGAACGCACTAGGCTGTAGTAACACTTTTAACTACACTAGTTCGAATGGTTTTACTTTTCAGTCTTCTAACTAAGTCATCGCTATCTAAGAGCTGATGGGCCTCGATATTGATGTGCTGATGCAGCCTCAGTTCGTGTCTTAAAGCATATTTTTTGATGACGTTGTCGACATCATCCACTTCCAAGTCATTATCTAGATTGCGTGCGTCAACAATAACTCGTAGTACTTTATTTCGGTTGTTTTGGTTTGGTTTGGACAGAGTTGAATACTATAAGTCCATATTGGCTTCAGGACTTGTTGTTGATAAAGCAAAAGTTTATTGTATGCCGGCCTAGTAACCAGTACATTTTCGTGTACTTGAGATCTTCATTTTTTTTTCACATGCTATTTCCACCTGAGTTTAGCATCAAGTGTCATGCCAGGATGTTTAGTTGCATTTTCGTAAGGAACTACTTGCTAATTTATATACAAATTTAGTCATCGCAGAACCGTGGTCTGGATTTTAACGTGTAAGACAGTGATGGAGGCAGCTTAATGAATCATCAAATGTATTAAAAAGGGAAAACATTTGGGTTGATACATTTCTTTTATGCGGTATTGCCGGATTTCGCGCTAAAATTTCAAACCGCCCAACAAACAGCTGTAATAGACTCTTATTAAGTCTCGGTCTTAGATCTACGTTATGTCGTTGGCGAAACTACCAAAATCGAAAATACCAACTATCATAATATATGTTAGTTTAGTACCGTAGTTTAGTAACTAAAGTCAAAATTGACAGCTGTTTGAATATAGTCCATTATTGGTTCTATGGCATGTAACCCGTGACACTGCATAGTTTTAGAACGAAGCTTTACAACTTAAAATACGATTACTAGCACTATTTCTGAACAAACCAATGAATGTTTATTTCTAAGGTTGTTTGTGAAGAGTGACTGCAGATATTTTATACCAAGCAGCAGATATGTTATCAAGCAACAGAAATGAGCATTATTAAGCTTAGATATATTATCTTCGTTTATTATGTTATTTCACGCACGGACCGGCAATACTGTATGCCGCTTTTTATTTTCCCTCTTTGTCTGTCAATCGGTCGTATATATTTATCTTTGTCGTATGCATTAAAATACACACCACGGAAATAAAACGACCAGAACTAGTATATTGGCTTGTACTAGATTCGTTTATTAGTGAAGTCGATATGCACTGATTTTTATTCATTCAATTTAACGCTCCATTTAGTTGTCTAGAGCTGTATTTCGGCAACAACAATTTGTGACTTTTGGGTTGCCGTGAACCCTATAGGATAATTAATATAATAATTATAACCCACCTGTAGCTTTCTCTTTCTCTAACCGCGTCGCCTCGAGGGCTCATCGACACCTTCGGCGGACTGAGCGCCCTTTTGGGCGGTTCCGGATGGTGAACCGGTGCGGGCGCGACGGAAGTCGGCGGCGCGGCATTGTGGGCGACGTTGTGCGGCTGGGCGGCCGGTTGCGGCTGGGCGATTACGGGAGGCGGCGGCTGTTGCGGCAACGTTGTCGGTGTCGTCGTCGTCGTCGTCAGATAGGGGACGGAACTGGGGTAAGAGGGTGTCGTCGTATGGGCGTAGGGCGCATACAGCGGCTGAAATGAAAAAAATGGTTTACATTTTATTGTACCTTTATGCATTCGTTGATATGGTACAAGAGTACTTGGATCAACAAGCAATCTTATCAGCTGATTTAAAATCGGAGAATACGTTCTAAGCAGCATCCAAGTGTGGAGCTCCAACCAAGTGTACCTGATTCACGGTTCCACACGGTAGTTCTGTACTCACAGAGGAGTGTTAAAGAAGGCGGAATTTAAAATGTATTATACTATATTATGTTTAAAGTGGTTTTTTCTAATAAACATTTAATTTCAATCTCACCTTGGAGATTCTAGTTAAAGGAGTTCTACTATAATAATAATAAAAAATGTTCGATATATTATTTTGGAATAATTAAATTAATATTTTCTTACTAACTGTTTTGACGAGACAGGAACCATCGGAAACAAGAAATAGCCATCTTATCCGATAGTCAAGAGCTTTAAGAGCGATATCAATTCAGTAACCATCAATTTAAAGTTGGTCAAAGACTGCCTAGAGAACTAAACAAATTAATCAACGAAAATAAAGGCCTTCTACTCTGGATGCCAGCCCACCAAGGGATAGAAGGCAATGAAAAAGCAAACGATCGAGCTGGAAAAGGAGCGAACAAACGGCTAACTGGGCGAGAACCGTTCTGCTTTCCAAATGGAAACCAATAACTTAAAGCAGAACCCCAGAACCTGGAAGACTCATCTCATCACGAACACCTCATCACTGAATGCGCCGAGACGACAACCATTCGTGACATAAACTATGGTACGACTAAAAAAGGATCTGGCGATGGCGCAGGAATTTACGGCAGCAGTCTAAAGACTGAGATTCACCACAGTCTTCGAAAACACACTACAATTTTCCAAGCTGAGCTGTATGCTATTGAACCCTGTGTGCAATTGCTGGTAGCAATACACCGGGAAAACAATAAACATATTTTCGGATAATCAAGCCGCGTGGAAAGCACTTGAGGCAACGAGAAGCACGTCTATAACGATTTTTCATTGTAAGAAACTACTCAATACATTAGGAGATAGGAACAAAGTGTCGTTAATATGGATACGGCGCGGCGATATGGATAGAGAGATATCGGCCTACAGGGAAAGGAACGTACTGATTCCCTTGCCAAAACTGGTGCAGGTTCGCCATTCGTGGGCCCAGAACCGACACTTAGTGTTCCAAAAAATCTCGCAAGAGGTAAGCTCTGTGAATGGGTTAGGGTGCAACGTTTCGGGACTGGAATGACCTAACCTAACCTAACATGCCAAAAAAATCCTAGCAAGGTCATCCAAACGTAGAACAGGAGAACACTTAAAAACTGGTAGGAATGGAGCGCGTACGCTCACTGCAGTATACACAGGCCACTGCCGGCTGAGATTACACCTACAGAGGATTGGTGGAAGACGCCAAATGCTGACTCTGTATGGAAGATGATGAAACAATGAAGTGCGTTATGTGTTCCAGCCCCGCTGGAGGCATGACCAGGTTTGAGGTGTTTGGCAAAACCATGCTAGACCTATCAGACCTAGGAGACATACCACCCTCGGATATAACAGCCTATGTCAGAAGGCTGGGTCTTGAGGGTGAACTTTACTGCTCTTTTTCCATTAAAAAGCTTGTAAAAACTGAGCCACAATAGGTCCTCGCCGCCGCAGGTTCTCATGGGACACACTCTTAGTGAGTACGAATACGAATGGTATACCATTCGTATTCGTATTCACTAAGACGAATGATATAGGAAATGGAGAACTAACCTCTGTAAAACCGTTTCAGATACTGGTTTTTGTCAAAGCCTTGAGACTGAATGATGAGTTGTAACTCAAGAAATATACAATAGATCTATAAGCTCGCAGTGATTAACTTTCCCTTCTACAAATCAACAACTGTTTTGATATATCCTACCTGGAATGAATGATGATACTGTCCGGGACTGGGAGCCACGGCCGCGTTGGCAGATGTGGCCACGGCCGGACTGTCCGTCCTGCCCACCGCGTGTCCCGCGGGGTCCAAGGAGGCGGCCGGGTGGAGAGCGGAAGGGGCGGCAGCCGGTGGAGCGATGGGGGCGGCTGCCGGCGGCATGGAAGAGAGCGGTGGAGGAGGTGGTTGAGGAGCGACGGCGGCGGCAGCGGGCGCGATCGAGGCGGTGAGAGTTGTCGGTGGACCAGGATCTGCAAATAAAAAGTTTAATATTAATTCGGTATTCAATGCAATAATAGTATAATAAACCAACTAATCTCAGCGGAAATGCTTAGGCAATATGATCTCTTCTCATTAACTTCTCAAAAGTATCATTCGATGCCAGTGGAGAAAGTTTTTTTTAAACATTTCGCTGAGACTAGTTCGTTGCTAATTAACAACGGACTAGTAGAAAAACATTTCCAGCTTGATCTCCAGACTAACTGGGCTATAACGAGATAATTCAAAATTTAATATACACAGCAGTGCACGACCACATGTGGTCGGTCTAAGAAGACATGCCAAAGATATGTTAGGATGAAGACTGGAGCCTCTACGCAATGAAGAGATTACCTTATCTAATCGATTCCGTGACTCCTTTACGAGTGTGTAGTAGTGATGGGCATTACGATTCTTTTTAGTGAATCGTATCACACGATTCAATTTCTCATATTGAATCGACTCCTACGATTCGTTCGTTTGAACGAATCATCACATGCGCAATTTACTTCTTAATACCAATTTTAGAGTCGATTTTAATTCCGATTTAATAATCATATAATAAATAGTACATAATACCGTATGCTAGAAAAAAAATGGCGTTCAGTTTACTTGGAAATGAACATCGATCACATTCCCCAAGTAATTTTACATATAAAATAACAGCGATTTTCATTTCATAACTATCGCCGACGTCGTTTTTCTATCATATTAAGCAGAGGCCATAGTTATTTGAAGTTGCATAAAAACACGATTTCGTTTTTTAGTCCATCATTTAATGATTCGGTAAATATTATTTTAACAAAAATATTAACGTTAAAATTGAATACATTATACAGGTACTCCAGTACTAGGCACAGTATAAATAAGTTTTTTTTCTTGTAAATAGCTTTCTTATCGTTTGCATTTTATGCCCATGATTTTTGTTTAGGGCTTTCGTTCAAGTCTAAATATTGGTGCCCGACTTTCTCTATGCTTATATCACCGCCGTAGAAACGAACTAGTCGCATTGTGATCCGATTTAATTCTTACGACTGTTTTTTATATACGGCTCATCGTTCAGATTTTATGGATCCGTGCTGGCCACGATTCAATTGAACGAGCCGTATTGTAAACAATGAATCAATTCTCACGACTCTTCGAATGAACGAGCCGTAGAAACGAACAATCGCATTGTGATCCGATTCAATTCTCACGAATTTTTACGGCTCATCGTTCATATTTTATGGATTCGGGCTGGCCACGATTCAATTAAACGAACCGTATTCTAAGCAGTGAATCGAATCTCACGATTCATTTTTAATACTCGTGATAGGAACGACTCATTCAATTTTTGCTCACAAACAATATAATAGTCTAAATTAAAGCACCCTCCATAGGTATTGCATTTTTTTGACACAGTATATTTAATAGCAAAACTAATAAAAGAATAGAGAATGTGACTAAATAAAAACAACAATTGAATTAATTAATAAATAATTATATACATGTATGCATAATACTGTATAATTTATTACGATATAAATTTATATTTTATCTTAATCAACGCTTCAACCTAACCAACTCTAACCTTTTACAATAAAAAACTCATATTTTATATTGTAGTATTATTAATACATTATAATTACATTCCCCACGTGTATAATTAAATAGTAATTTAAATGTAAACGAACTAGTTCAACGTCTAATTTGTCTAATTATATACCAGCTAATAAAATAGTAATATATCCCTCTCCTAATATCCAAAATCGATTCGAAATTAATTGTAATCATCCGCTATTAGCCGCAGAACAATAAATTATCAATCCGGATCGATCGAAAGTCAATTTACTGCCTACTAAACGACCATAAATAATACCGAACAATACAAATACTTAATAACTTTTTATTAAGTCGGTAAATCAATGTAAGCGGGCGACCAACACCCATACCGAGAAGGAAAAAATCGACTTATTTCCATTCGAGTGGGCCGCAGCCTTGCAATGGGATTGAGCGCGTATTGTAATTACGTTGTAAAACACTGATGGATGATAATGGTCGCTTTAATATATTTATATCCCGACCATTAAGCCTGTAGTAGGCAAATGTGTGAAAATGTTTTTCTTTTTAGCATACTATTAACATGTAGTTATTAATATAAAAAAAGAACTTTATGGTTAAGTGTACCTACTTTATAATATTAGCCAAGAAAGAAAACATCTTTTTTTGAGTGACGTTTCAAAGGTGTACGAAATTACAATCCAGTCAGTGAATGATGATAAATAATCTTAATAAAAAACAGTTCTCCGCCAGAGCTGCAACAAGTCAGTTTTAAAAAGACTTTAAAATAACTCTGAAGTCATTTCTAAAATCAAAATAAGTCTGAAGTCAATTTCAATATAAAGTTCAAATGACTTAAGTTTTATGTCTTTGACTTAAGTCATTTTCTTCCAAGTCAAGTCATTTTTGTAAAGACTTAAATCAATATAACGTTATTTAAGTCTTTTTTTTGACTTACCTAAGTCTTTTTTTTAAATAGAACTACAATATACAATAATAATATACCTATATTACTATAATAAACAAATAAAAAATTAACGCATCAAGAACATAAAACACATACACTGTTTTTTTTCTCAGGTAAGATTTCGACAGACGATGATAGAAGAAAGCAGATGACTTCCATACCCATCCATTTATTTCACTAAAAAAAGTTTCTAATATTTTTTAAGTTAACTATGGATGGGTTTATAAATAAATACGTCATGCGTCGTCTCTTGTTGTTTTTAACCAGTTTTATTGGTTTATTTCAAAAATGACAGATCATATTCCCATATTATTGGTTTCACGCAACGATGAACGACAAACGGACGCCTATGCGTATGAACTCGACTTAAGATTTTTGAGAATTGTCAAACTCTTAGCCAAGTTATTGGTTACAATTTTGTGTCAAATTATGTCAAATAGAAATGATAAATGTTTTGCATTTTGCATTTAGGACTGCGTTGTTACTTGTGTTTCGTGTTTTGTAAAATTAATTGGAGGAAAACTCGAGGGAAAATTAAGTGCTGACCCAGACCATAGTTTACAGTTAATATTCGGTGCACAGAGACCGCCAGAGACACAGTTTGCCAGAGACTATGGCCAGAGAGTTGTATTAGCCACAAATAAAGTTGTATACCATCTCGTATATGGTACCAAAAACTGGAGTACCTGTAAAATAACATCACATGATAGGTAAATAATACATTTTAGTACTGCAGAAAAAAAAAAGATTAAAGTTAATTAACCAAGATTAGATTTTTTCAGTTTTATGCAGTTTTTGTTCACAATATTTTGAAATAATCACTTGTCACTCAAAATTTAAATATATTAATTATGCGTTCCAATTGTACTAACTTATTTCTTTGTAAAATAAAATAAACTACTTTGAAATTTAAATGACAGACACATCTATCACTGTCAAGGATTTTGTCGTTAGACAGACTATATATAAAAACATCAATAACTTAAATAAAATTAAATTTCGTGGTACTTTGTACAGGTTGTCCCATTTTTGTGTGTTTTTCAGTGTTTCTCGTTTATGAGCAGCGGTATAGGCATACTAAGGTTTCACAGTTGCTACTTTTTTATGAAACTAAAGATGGTAAACACATATTTAATGCCGCTGTTAAAAACTTATGAAAAAAAGACTTTAATCTTTTCTAAAATGACTTAGAGTCTATTACGCTGTACTTTTGGGGTCGCTCTCGTGGGTCGGGTAAAGCGGGTGTATGGCCGAAGGAAATATATATAATATTTCAAAAATCTGCCCTTAGCCCGATCCTGTCGTGTTAAGCCATATCCAAAATTCCAAACACACGTGCTTTAATTAAGGCTTGATTAAGGTTTGCAGAGCTTCAGCATTTGTCATAAAATATCGAGCAATTTGTTACAAAACCATATAAATTATATATCACTGTAATCACAAAACTTCAATCTATTTCCGTATTGTAACAGAATTTTAAATTATGTTTTTATTTTAGAGAAAATTTAGTCCAAACATAAGTAATATTTTGTTGATGATTGACCAGCAAAATCTTAAAAATAAAGAAGTTGTCTAAAAATGTGCTACAAGGCGGATATAGTATAGTCCTTTATCTTTAATTTCCTTCTTCATTTGAGTAAAAATACCTAGCCAGTTTTACATAAAACGTTAAATGCCGAACGCTTATTTTGCTACTTTTCCGGACTCTTGTCTATATGTCTAAAACTAACTTTATAATAGTTTTTCTTCAATTTGAACCTCCTTTTTTGCTTATTAGAATTAACTTCCTTATAATTTTAAAGCCTGTAAATTATATTGTCAAGGCGTATCAACTTGATTGTTTAGAACCATATTAAAGACTAAATGGACTCTTTAAGTCATTAAAAAAAGGTTTAAATCTTTTTTTAATAACTTAAATCTTTTATAAAAAGACTTAAATCTTTTAAAAGACTTTTAAAAATTTTTTTAATGACTTAATTTTTTTTCTAATTCGGAATAAAGACTTAAATCACAAGTCATTTTAAAAATGACTTAAATTTTAAGTCAGCTTTCGAAATATGACTTAAAATCAAATAATTTAAGTCATTAAAATGATTTAAGTCAAAAAAAGACTTAAATTTTCTGTGAGGTTGCAGCTGTCTCCGCTGGAGAAAATATAATCTTCGTCATTTTGCTTTGGGATATTATGCCTCCATGTAGGTAAGCCTGTTCTCAAAACCGGCACATCGCGTTAAAACCGGTGTTGGGCTGACCCCGGTGGCCAAATATGGGCTATTCAATGTACCGGTATCAACACTGGCACCGGTGTTCATCTTCACACCGGTTTTTACTACGATACCAGTTTTGATCTCGACACCGGTGTTTTGTTAAACTGGTTAAAAAAGAAATAATCTTAATTAATAAATTCATATTAAATCTGATCGGTGTCGAAATGAACACCGGTGTCAATATGAACACCGGTTTCAGGTATTGATGACAATAGGTTTT